TGTGATGGTTTGGAATTCAAAAATGTATGATTACATTCAACAGCACTCAAATTCTAAATGTATTTGGTGAGTTTGAAAATGGTGTCATTTCTTAAAATATATGATTTAAATTTCTGCCTTCAACATATTATATGCAAATACTTGATACGGAATGTGGGAAGGAACCATAGCAAATTGACATCACAAAGGCAAAAAACCTGTCGACATTTGCTAAGCATTTGCCACGTGTGCAAATCGCTTCATGTCTGCGGTGTCTAGATGGCTTTCGTTAACTTTGGTACTCGACCTCTCTGGCATGACTTCCTCACGTCTTTTGATCGCCAAATTTGCGTCTCGTCGAAGTCTCGATGCGACTCGATACAAATAATAAATCAGCACGGGCTTGAATTGGCTGCCTTCAGTTACCTCTCATGCACTGGAGATCAAACGCGCTCGCTTCCACTCGAGATTGCGTCTCTGTCGACTGGAAACGTTAAAGAGCTCACGTAAAAGCCTCGCTGGTGCTGCTAGACGCCGAAACTGCCTGAGACTGATATGATATTTATCTGGTTTGGTTTAGCATTCATGCAAAAAGGTAGACGCTCCGGACCTTAGTCTATGCCGCCTATCGCGCCTGTTCAGTTGTCCTGACACCTTACCACGTTCCGGGACATTGCGATCCATTGGGACTACGTTGGCTTGCGATCTTCCTCGCAGCAACAGTATGCCAGGAAGAATCGGTAGTATTTGATCAAGTACCAGCTCGACTGTACAGCTACTACTGACTATTACTATCATACAATGAAGACCGTTAATCACTCTGTGGAGTCCATATCTCCGAGTCCGTAATCATGTCTTTGATGTAGTCCGACACCTATCTCCGAGTCCGTAACGATATCCCTGAGCTCGAAGTCCAACTTCGAGTTCTAGTCCGCTTCCCGTCTTCACCTAGTCCTCCGCGTGGAAGGCCTGCTCCGAGTTCCGCGGCGCACTGCTCGCCCTTCCTCCTACTCGTATCCTCTCGACGCTCCACGGCCAGCCTCGAGATTTTGACCACTCTCCCCAACATCCACTCCTGTTTATACTCGTCAGCTCACTGATTGCAGACGCGCCAAAGGATGCGACTTATCCATCATGCGACTCGATTCCGCGAGGCACACGTCTGTGATGATGAATCGATATCAGTATCGACAATATGTGTTTGCGCGAGACCGCAGAAACGTACCGAGCGTGTTGTCCAAAACGGCCACCGACGAGGAGCCACCTCCAAGCCACGGCATCTCTGCTGTCGGTCTTGATCTTGACGGCAAAAGTTCGCGGGCAAGTCTGAAGGAGCGTGAGGATGAATAGCTGGCGCTATGTGCAGCGATAGTAAGGCATACCCAGCATGCCGATTCCTCAGAAGTTGGCGAAGAAGGGAAGGAAAACCAACTATCAACTTGCGGTATCTCTGCTGTCGACCTTGATCTTGACGGCGAAAGATTCGCGGACACGGCTGCATAGGCTGTGCACTGATGATGTTGACCGAGTACGATGAGTGAAATATGACAATACTCACCCAGCGTGTCGGCGTCAATGTCGGCGACGAAAGCGAACGCAAGCACACGGACCAGGCGTAAGAGAGGATAAAAGCAGATGAACGAAAGCAGATGAACGAGCCCTGATGGTGGAAGGTTGAAGGAGAACAGCTCCTGAAGAGACGAGGGCGAAAGGGCGCATTTATGTGTGCATAATTCTAGAGGCTGACACTGTCAGAGGTTTGCACGGTCTTCGCATAATCGCGACCGCTCATGCCGTCATGGCATCCCCATTTATGTGCGCAACATGAATTCATGTTTTTGTCATCTCATCATAACCGAAGAGCTCGCCAATGTGATTTTCTCTGTCAACCGTGCTGAGGTCGGCTCGTTGACCTCTTATTAGTACGTGATCGCGTTTGGACCTGTTCCGGATTTCATCTCGCCATTCTCGCAGCATATATCATTGCCCGGGGATTAAATACTAGAGAAAGATCATTACTGTGAAGCATGGAGACGGTGAGCCGTAGTTGAAATTATCAGCGCGCTCCATGAAAACAGCGGATGGACAAGGGAGTATGAAAGGCGTCCGGACTCCATGATGGTATCGGGATACTACTATCGACCACGATGTGTCGCGATCTCTCTGCGATGAGAAGCGTGTTTCAGTACATAGACCGAACATCGTTTCGAAGACACTGATAATCACTTGTAAGCTCATTCACACTTCTGTTCCATGAAATCGCGCGTTATGATAGGGAATATTCAAACCACCTCGTGTACTAAGTGCAGGTGGCATGCCAGCTAGTAGTACGGATCCATCTCCCTTGGTGGCGGACCGTACCACTTCATGCCGGGGGGAATAGGACTCCAGTGGATATACTGTCCATAGCATAGCACTGGCTCGACGATTTGCACCTTTCCGTCCCACTCCACCGTCTCCACAAGCTTGCCGAGTTTGTCGATGTCGCGCTGAACCACATTGCTGCAACGCGTTAATTTGACTCTCTTGATGTCCAAGCCTACCTCACGTCGCATCTCCAGACCCTCCCGCAGCATCCCGAGGTTATCCCGCTGATGCAAATGGGCGTGATCATCCTTGAGTTTCATCTTTTCGAGCGCCAGGGTGTGCAACTTGGGCAGCAAGCAATCTTCGTCGTCGAAGATGATCATCGCAACCAGTGCACGATCAACTCCGGATTTGCCTTCGATATGGGCGTATTCCACGTCTTTCATGGGTGCGAGAATATTCTTCCATTCCGTTCTGCGGGCGGGTGGGAAATGTTTGAGGGAGAGTGCGGTCACCTTGACTGCAAGCGTGAAGCGCTCAAGGAATGATGCAAGTCTCGTTTGTTGTTGCACATCTCCGAATTGACAGAACATTACCTTGAGGGTGCAGTGACGATCTTGTTCTGCGAACGCTTTTCCATCGTTTCCACCTTCTCCATCACCTTCTCCATACTCCTCCTTACTATAATCGCCCTCATCTTTCTCTTCGTCATTCCCGCCTCGCTCGCGCTCGTGCACATTACGTTTGTCCTCTTCGTTGAACCTGTTGTCATGTTCATGGAAGTATGCACAAGCCGAATGTTTATTCTGGGACAGACAGACAGTGGAAAGCTTGGAAAGGAAAGCCTCGGGAAGGTTCCTGGCAAGACATCGAGCGAGAGCGTGACCGCCTTCCAAGCCCGTGCAGGACAGACTAAGGGCAGATATACTGGGAAGAGAGAGCTGTTTCATGAAACGTATGCATAATTCAAGATCCGCGCTGATGTGCAGGGTGCGCAGGTTTGAGAGCGCAATTGCCTTGGAATAAGAACGGCGATTGGCTTTTTCTATGGTATCCATATCCGAAAAGACGCCGTCGAGATGCATTTCCTCAAGCAGGGGAAGACTCTCGAGTATGTCGAGGAATTCATATATGCTGGCTTGGGATATTCTGGGTATTTCCGCGACCGTGAGGTGCTTGAGCGAGGGAATGATGAGGTCGCTGCACCGCACAGCATATTGTTTGACATGTAGCGTTTCTAGAGGCCGGGCTTGTTGTAACAACGGTATCCATAAGCCCGGGTTTGACTCCGGCAGATTAAACCCTGCCTCTGTACCGGACACATGGAGCAAACGGAGCAGCGGCATCGGATTGTCGATGACGCTCATCAGATCATGTAGCATATCCTGTGGTGCAACCAGCACTAGTTCACGGATCCTTCCAGCCTCCATGGCTACCAGTTCAAATGCCTGCCTCTTGGCAGAATCTTCCTCGTCAAAATCCGCGGCAACGACGAGCGGTGCCTGTTTCGAGCGCTTCAGCAACTCAGTCATCCACTCGACGCGAGGAGTAACGCTGAACTGGCTCCAAAGCGCGGCTTCATCCAGAGCGACACCGCGCCAGAGCGTGCAGACATGCGAGATCCCGATCCACTTGTAGAAATGGAAAAAGCCATAGGTCCTTGCGAGATGCTTGAATATATTCCCGAGGATTTCCGGCGGCAGCCTGAATATAGGCCGAACAGAGTTCTCTCTGACTTTCAGACCACCAACATGGCGCTCGGTGAGCGAAGCGAGCCTTTGTTCGTCGAACGACTGGGACCCAATGGCGAGTGGGGCGTCATCACTCATGATGAGGATATGGCTCTGTCAACAATTGTGATGAATGGACAGGGTATGCACGCGCGCTGAGATGTCAAACTTACCGCTGCAGAGTAGTGTTTGGATGTCAAGGCGTAGAAAAAGAAGATGGGAGGTGAGGGGAAACGCTCATCGCATGAAGAGCACAGCCCAGGGCCCGTATCGTCAAGGGATCAACAACACGAGGCTCTTCGTGGACCCACTGATTACGTATCGCTTCGTGTCCCATCGATATCCAACAGAGCGACTATGCTGATTTCGAGTGCGCAACTAAGCTAGAAAGTACAGTGGCAGCAGGCTAGATCTAGACGGTGCCGGATACCGATGCAAGCACTTTTCGGAAGGGTGCCACAAACGCGAGCGTCAACGCTCATCTAATACGAACCGATCATACAGTTTTAGGACGAAGAGACTCGGAACAAAAGCTGTCTTCAAATGCATAACATACAAACTGACTCCACTGTGACGCGATTCGATGGGACGATGAATCGATACCTGTATCGACAATATGTGGCTGTGCGAGACGGCAGAGAGGTGCCCACTGCCGAGCGTGTTGTCCAAAGCGACCACCGACGAAGAACCTCTTCCAAGTCGCGGTATCTCTGCTGCCGGTCTTGACCTTGACGGCGAAAGTGCGCGGGAACGTCTGAGGGAGCGCGAGGCGGATAGCGAGCACTGCATTGAACGATAGTGAGGCGTACCCACCGTACCGATCTCTCAGAAGTTGGCGGAGAACGGAAGGAAACTCGACGACCAAGTTGCCGTAGAGTCTCTGCTGTCGACCTTCATATTGACGGCGAAAGGTTTGCGGACACGGCTGCGCAGGGCTCTGCAATAATAGTGTTATCCAAGTACTATGAGTGAATGATGACAGTCACATTCACCCAGCGTGTCGGCGTCAGATGTCCGACGAAAGCGAACGAAAGCCTCACGCACACACGGACCAGCCTGAGACAGAATGAAATAAGACGAACGAGCCGTGATGATGGGAGGAAGGAAACCAGCTCCTGAAGAGATCAGGGCGAGAGGGCGCGTTTATAGAAGTTCCAGAGGCTAACACTAGTGCAAGAAACTTGCACGGTCTTCGCGTAATTGCGATCGCTCATGCTGTCATAACATCCACATTTACTATGTGCGGAACGTACGTTAATTTTCTAGCTGTGCATCATTGAATAACACTAAGATGCTGGTTTAGATTCCCTCTGGCTCAATGTACACATCCAGCGACTGGAAGACCCCGAGCTTTCTCATCTAGTCTCAGCTCGCCTGTTTATGTGGCATATAGCTCGCCAATGTGACTTTCTCTGTCAACCTTGCAGGCGACTCGCGAGTTCATTGGCCTCGTATCACGTGATCGCGTTTGGACCTGCTCCGGTTCACAGATTTCAACTCGCCATTCTCGCAGCGTATGCGCCCCGGGCATTGACCAGGACAAATATCATCAGTACGAAGCACGAAAATGGTAATTTAGGTTGTCAGCGCGCTGCATAAAAGGGCGCATGTGCAAGGCATCATGAAAGGCACCCTGGCAGAGGCCTCCATCGGATACTACTATCGACCGTGATCTCTCTGCGATGAATCACATTTCGGTGCGTAAACCGAACATCGTTTCGAGGACACCGATAATCACTTGTAAGCTCATTCACACTTCTGTCCGATGAAACCGCGCACTACGATACGGAATGTTCAATAGCCTCGCGTGAAAGTGCAGGTGACACGCCAGCTAGTAGTACGGATCAATCTGCCTTGGCCGTGGCGGCCTACCGTACCACTTGAGATTGGAGTCGGGGGGGAAAGGACTCCAGTGCATATACTGTCCGTAGCATAGAACTGGCTCGACGATTTGCACCTTTCCGTCCCAGCCCACCGTCTCCAGAAGCTCGCCGAGTGTGTCGATGTCGCATTGAACCACATTGCTGCAACGCGTTAATTTGATTCTCTTGATGTCCAAGCCTACCTCGCGTCGCATCTCCAGACATTCCCGCAGCATTCCGAAACTATCCCGCTCATGCGATCCGGTGTAATCATCCTTGAGTTTCATCTTTTCGAGTGCGAGGGTGTGCAACTTGGGCAGCAAGCAGTCTTCGTCTTCGAAGATGATCATCGCAACCAGTGCACGATCAGCTTTGGATTTGCCTTCAATATGAGCATATTTCACGTCTTTCATGGGTGCGAGAATATTCTTCCATTCCGCTCTGCGGGCGCGTGGGAAACGTTTGAGGGAGAGTGCGGTCACCTTGACTGCAAGCGTGAAGCGCTCAAGGAATGATCCGAGTCTCGTTCGTTGTTGTACCTCCCCGAGTTGACAGAACATTACCTTGAGGGTGCAGTGACCATCTTGCTCTACGAGCTCTTCTCCATCTTCTCCTTCATCTTCTTCAGACTCTTCCCCACTATAATCGCCTTCACCATCCCCTTCGTCCTCTTCGTCATTCCCTCCCCGCTCGTGCTCGTCCGCACCATGCTCGTCCTCCTCGTTGAACCTGTTGTCATGTTCACGGAAGTACGCACGAGCCGAATGTTTATTCTGGGAGAGACAAACAGCAGAAAGTTTGGAAAGGAAAGCCTCAGGCAGGTTCCTGGCAAGACATCGAGCGAGAGCGTAACCGCCTTCCAAGCCCGTGCATGACAGACTAAGGGCAGATATACTGGGAAGAGAGAGATGTTTCATGAAACATATGCATGATTCAAAATCCGCGCCGACGTGCAGGGCGTGCAGGTTTGAGAGCGCAATTGTCTTGTTATAGGAGCGAGGATTGGCTTTTTCTACGGTATCATTATCCGAAAAGACGCCGCCGAGGTGCAGTTCCTCAAGCAGAGGAAGACTCTCGAGTATATCGAGGAATTCGTATACGCTGGCTTGGCATGTGCTGTGTAATTCTGCGACCGTGAGGTGCTTGAGCGAGGGAATGACGAGGTCGCCACACCGCACAGCATATCGTTTGACGTGCAGCGTTTCAAGAGGCCGGGCTTGCTGTAATAACCGTATCCATATGCCTGAGGATGGCTCTGGGATAGAAAAATCGTTCTCCATTCCGGACACATGGAGCAAACGGAGCAGCGGCATCGGATTGTCGATGACGCTCATCAGGTCGTCTAGCATATCCTGCGGTGCAACCAGCGTTAATTCACGAATCCTTCCAGCCTCCTTGGCTACGAATTCAAACGCCTTCCTCTTGGCAGAATCTTCCTCGTCGAAATCCGCAGCAACCAAGAGCGGTGCCTGCTTCGAGCGCTTCAGCAACTCAGTCATCCACTCGACGCGAGGAGTGATGCTGAACTGGCTCCAAAGGGTGGCTTCATCCAGAGCAACGCTGCGCCAGAGCGTGCAGACATGCGAGACCCCGATCCATTTGTAGAACCGGACAAAGCCATAGGTCCTTGCGAGATGCTTGAATATCTTTCCGAGGATTTCCGGCGGCAGCGCGAATATAGGCTGAACAGAGTTCTCTCTGATATTCAGACTGTCAACGCACTCGGTGAGTGGAACCAGCCAATGTTCGTCGAACGACTGCGACTCAATGGCGAGTGTGGCGTCACCACTCATGATGAGGAGATGGCTCTGTCAACAATTGTGATGAATGGGCAAGGTACACACGCGTGATAAGATGTCAATCTTACCGCTGCAGAGTAGTGTTTGGATGTCAAGGCGTAGGAAAAGAAGATGGGAGGTGAGGGGAAACGCTGATCGCATGAAGAGCACAGCCCGCCCATATCGTCGAGGGATCAGCACCACGAGGCTCCTCGTGGACCCATTGATTACGTATCGCTTCATGTCCCATCGATATCCAACAAAGCGACGCTGATTTCGAGCGTGCGACTGACCCAGAGAGGATAGTGACAGCGTGTTATATCATTTAGATGGCGCCGGATACGATGCAGCTCGTTTCTGCAGCGACCTTCTGGTGCCACAAACGCGAGCGTCAATGCCCATCTAAAAACGAACCGATCATCAAAATTTAGGACGAAGAGAACGAAAGCTGTCTTAAAATGCATAACATCCAAACTTACTCCATAACGCAATTCGATGGCGCAAGGACCCACGCCTGCGGCGATGAATCGATATCGGTGTCGACAGTATGCGGTTGTGCGATACGGCAGAAACGTACCGACCTGTACCGACTCGCCGCGCGTGTCGTCGAAAGCGACCACCGACGAAGAGCCTCTTCAAACTCGTGCTATCTCTGCTGTCGATCTTGACCTTGACGGCGAAAGTCCGCGGGCATGTCTGAAGAGGCCCAAGGCTGAATAGCGAGTACTACATCGAACGATAGTGAGTCGTACCCAGCGTACCGCTTCCTCAGAAGTTGGCGAAGAAGGGAAGGGAAACAAACCCACGACCAATCGCGGTATCTCTGCTGTCGACCTTGACCTTGACGGCGAAAGATTCGCGGATGCGCCTGCATGGGTGATTCACCATCCTGCCCTTGCGTGACCCAGGCATTAAAGTCTGCTGGAACCGAAAGATCTGGCTGAGCAGCATAAACGTGGACATAGTAGACCCTAACTAGTACTTCAAAGCTTCAAGTGCTATGATCAAGGTTGCCGGACGCCCAAGTTCTCGCGTGACCGCGAGTGTCTGAAATGGACTTATGGCATCGCATCATGGCCATTGGCCACCGCACGGTAACGGAAACATTTCTTGTGCACAAGTCATGAGCAGAAACCGAACCCGATATAAAGCGTCTACCTGAGATAACGAACTAAATACATAGCGTTGCAATCCCGTAGTACTACAGCTATTAATCCGGGGGCCAGGCTTGATACAAGGACACGGACTATTCTTTCCTCTCAGCCAATGTGCAACACATGCACCCAAAATACCATCCATGACATGACTGAGCTGATGAAACATGAAAGATCTGGCATGCATCCTCATGCATAAGGACAGTGAAAAAGTGAAACCGGATGACATCGATGCTCAAAAGTCAACATCCCTCCCAGGAAGCACCTTCGAGCCAGTACTGATCGCAACCGCATTCAGCAGCACCTCCCAGACCAGATCAATTATAAACCAGATCCCCTGGTCATAGAGTCCCAGCGCACACACATTCCTCCACAAACCCTGCACCCGCGTAACATATCTCGTCAACAGCTCCTTCGCACTATACTTCATCGCCAAACTCTCCGCATACACGAGGTGCGCATTCCTCCTCGGATCCGCCAGCCTCGCAAACGCATTGTCAGGAAGTAGCGCAGACAAGAGGTTGTCAGCGCGTTTCGAGTAGATGTACGCCGCGAGGTCGGCAAAGGTGGCGGAGTGCGGGATGCACAGCGGGACGACGGGGACGGTGTATGGCTCGCCGGGCGCGGGCCGCCCGGGATGCGAGGGTGCAAACTCGGGCAGTTTGGCGCAGTTCGCGGCCCAGACGAGGTGGTGTGCGGGGTAGAGCACGATGTGTTTCCGGAGGCGGTCCGGCTGGCGGTCATGTATCGCAAAGACGTGCGTCGGCGCATCGGAAGAGTCATCGCTCACGGACAGCGAGACCTCCTCGGGGATGCCCTCGCCGGTGTCGCAAATCGATTCAAACTCGACTGACGCGAGTATGTTGAGCATGCTGTGAGAGAGAAAACCAGACAGGTTAGATATGCAAGCGCGACGGACGCTGGCGACGTACCCAGGCCCGAGCTCGGCAAGCGAATCCTGTACGTACTCGACGGGTATCTCCGCAAGCTTCGGGTCGATAGGTTTGAACCGCGACGCGGGGACCGCGCAGTAGGCCGGACGGTTGAGCACGCGGGGAAGTGTGATGGATCCCTTTGCGCTCTTGCGCGGGACGCGCTTGGAGCGGGTGCGGATGCGCGCGGCCCTCTCGAGCGGGTGCTCCGGCTCGTCCGGCGGGTTCAGCTCGAACTCGAACTTGACGTGCGTGGGCGGGGACGGCGAGCGTGAGTGGGAATGCCGGCGGCGGTAGGCCTCCTCGGCGGCGTATTCTGAGTGGGAGTTTCCGAAGGCTCGTGCCCGCCGGCGGGAAGACGACGCGCGGATGATAGTGGCGGCGACAGAGAACGATGCATTGTTCTTTGAAGAGGAGGAGGCGGGCGCCTGGGAGCCTTTGAGGCTGAGGAGGAGGGCGGCGTCGGCGTGGCTGGCGGAGGCGTGAGTGGAGGTGTCGACGTGCGAGCCCTTGCGGGCTGCCATGTGGGGATTGGTGTAGACGCCCATGACTACTGCGGCAGGTGATAACGATGATTAGGCGCGCTCGTTGGTTGTGCGTTGTCTCGACGTCGACGGGCGGGGGGCGGACAGTAAGGCAGGGGACAGAGGGTCCAGCAGAGGCGAAGGAGAGGTACAAGCGAGAGCTGGGATAGAAGACCCGCGGGCGAGAGGGGCTGCTTTTAAACTGTGTCCCAAAAGGGTGTGAGAGGAGGGCTTGATTGCTTTTTGCCTTATTCGGCGGCGGTGAGGGATGGGTGTGTGCGTGTTTGGTCCAGAGGGCGACTCTCCTTCCTTATCAAGTAACTTTTGGTGGGTCCGCACTCTTCTCGGTGGGTCCTCGTCTGCTTCTGTAGGTCCACACAGCCTTATATGTGGCCTGTCGGAGAGTGCCTGTCGACGGTTGTGGGCGCGCACACTGGCGGAGGTGGGCGCATGCGAAGAGTTTAAAAGCTCGGAGGAGTCAGCCTTCTGCCCTTTGTCTGCTGGCTTGAGTAGTGTTTCAAGGGCCGCTGGGCCACAATTTTGGGTGTGGCCCTTCTACCACGTGATGGCCGTGGCACCCTGTCAAGTTGTGGCCATACTTGCCTGGGGAACACGCGGTGAAAGCTGCCAGTGGGTCTTCTTCTCGAGTTCGCTGGCCGCGACTGGCTATTCACGGTGTCTCATGATCAACTTGCGGCCGTCCAAATCATGAAGCTCTCAACTTTCTTTCGTTCGCGGAGTTTCAGCCGCGAAGGTTCAAACGTTCACCGGTCACCGGGCGGCCATAGGTAATCATGCACGAGTGTTCTGCGATAATCGGCCTGTTCCTGTCATTATGTGTGGCGAAGTCGACGTGGCCGCAAAGTTGCAGTGGCAAGACATGCGGTGGCCACAAATAATGGCCCCATCGATGTGGCAGTTGTATGGCCAGCCAAGTCAAACGTGTGTTGCTTCTTTGTTCAGGCTAGCGTGGAGACTTTGCTTTCAAGATGAATCCATATCCGTGTTCTTCATCTACGCCATTGATAACACTCGCGATTCTCATTCAGGCGGGAGGTCGTGGATGCATCAAAGGATGCTCTTGTTCATCTTCACATATGGCTCCATCACATCATGTCCACCTCCAGCGGCGTTGGCCATGAACGCATCCTCCCAACATGCGTTCTCCTTATGCCTCCAATTACCGATCGAGATCAATTACATGCCTTGGCCACGCTCATTAATCACCGCGTCCAGGATTTGAAAGGAAAGACGAGGGATCGGTGGCCTTGTTCTGTGCCGCATAGTCTCTTGTGTCGGCTCCACATCATCTGGGTTCTCTACTGGCAGGTAGACGCTGCAGCATCGTGCACTTTGTCTATTATGGGCCTTTGTACAGTCTTCGCAGCCCCGAAGAAACTCGTGTCTTCGTGAGGGTATACATCTGTTTCGTCTGGACTTGGAGATAAATGAGGTGGCTCATGAAGCTGTAAAGCTCAGAGGTGACGCGCTTGGATGATCTTCTTGCTCGAGTGGGCGGTTGTGGATGAGTAAACGCCCTACAGCAACGTCTCGCTTACATGTATCACGTTCGCAGTAGACGTACCGAGTCATTATGCGCTCAAAAGCCGCTGGCAGCGAGAGTCGTACCATGTATTTGGATAGGGGACACCGAGCGTCAACATCTGTTTCATCGGAAGCACCAATGGTTTCGATAACACGGGGGACATACAGCTGCTGCACAGCGCTGAAGCTTCCGAAACTGCCATGGTTCGCGGTGAATTGAGGGAGAACGAAGACGAAATAGCCTGGGCGTCCCGCAGAGACCCGGCGCTACTCGACTGCCAAACGGTGCCAACATCTGTGGCCGTGCAACTACTCACCTCCATCAAGAAGAAGATCGCGACCATGATGTTCATCCACTTCTACAAGCGCCGAAGCTCAGGGTGGCAGGAGAAGAGGAGCGGAAGGCAAGAAGCATTTCAAGAGAAGCGAGGATGGTAATGCAGGACCCAGCACCGCCGTTGCCTTGACATCCCATCATCGACGCTGATGACGACTGCGCATTCGAGCGTCCAGCTCCGCCGCGCTCCAGGGCAGATCGGCCATGTCGCGCAAGGTTTGATATTACGCTGATGCTGGGAGGTTTGATGGTGCGGGGTGAAACAGGATGGCTGTGATGCAGGGAGGCTCGCACGAGGTTCCAGGAAGTACTCGTGACGTCCTTGAACCGTCGGTGAGACTGACAGAAGGCACAGCAGCCTTCTCGTCTCGAACGACGACGCCAGTCGCCCAGGTACGCGCTCAACCACCGCCGTCGTCCAGATCGCGCCAACCACGCTACGCGCGCCGCTCCAGGCCAGAGAGGACATTCCCGACGACGTCGAGAGACAAGAGGGCGGGAGAAAACAAGCTGCTGGGAATGGGCATGCGGACCCGCAGCCGCGGCGGCGTCTGTTCCTTTGCTCCCTCCATCTGCCGGCAGTCAAGTCCGACTCCCGAGCGAACCGGGGAGCTGGGGGACGCTCGTCGACGCCGTTGTTGATCCTGCGTCTGCGCGTCCACCACGCCGTCCCTGCGGAGCCGCCCTCGCGCTCCTCTCATCAGCATGTCCATGCCCCGCCAGCACTAGCGCGCTCGCTTTTCCGTTCTCGTCTCCCTTGCTCTCTCTCTCGCGCTTCACGACTGACGACACTCCATCTCATCGAGTACACTTTCGCTCTGCACATCTTGACAAAGCTTCGTAACGATATCGACGTGCCGGTGCGCACTCCGAGCGTAGAGAACGCCGCGCAAGCCTATGTACCACTCTCCGCGACGCAGGTCGCCCAAGCTCAAGTTGCGTCCCTTGGAGCCACCGCCATGGACCGGATCCTCCTCCGACGAACGCTCCTCCGTTGCACTCGCGAAGGTGAAGCCACACCGTCATACTGACCAGGAGTCCGACGCAGCAATCTCCTCAGCCTATCCCACTGTGATGAAACGGCCGTTTGATGATCCTCATGAGTGCGTAACGTGCGGACCAGGCCTCAGCCTGTGCCCACGCCCGACCACACGCTCATTCGCACACTCCACTGACGCACCTTCCTCTTTCCCCGCCTCCCCTCCCGCAGTGCTCTCTGCCGCGCATTCAACGTCCTCAAGACCGTCGACGTGCCCAAGGTGATGACAGACGCGCTCCCGCCCACCCTCTCCATGCGCGTCCTCCCGCACCACCCGCACGCGCACGCGCTCACGCCCACGCACGTCCTGCTCGTCCTCGACTCGCACTACGCCTCGCTCCCCTCCACGCACGCGACCCTCCACCCGCCGCTCCCGCCCCCGCTCGCGCTCCCGATCAATGCGGACCTCTTCGCGCAGCGCTTCGCGAGCGACCTCCGCCCGCCCGGCGCGCCACCCGCTCCAGAGCCGTCCTGGGCCGACGCCGCCCACTCGCAGGAGCTCACGCTGCCCACCATCGCGCTCTGCGTGCCGCACCCGCCATCCGTCCCGCTCCTCCTGCTCTACGGCCTCGGGCTATTCGCAACTTTTGAGCCGTATCCTTCCTCCGACGGAACACACGGAGTAAGCGCAAGCGCGACGACGAGCATGGGCACGCTAGCGGCATATCTTCTGCCCACGCACACGATCGAGGAGTTCCCGTCGGCGGCGGCTATGGCGGACGTGCTCGCGATGGGCTGCAGCGACGCTGAGCTGCGCGCGCACGCGTTGTTCAATGGCGGGATGTGGGGGAACGTGCTCGCGCTTGCTCCGAGGGACGGGCGGATCGTGGAGGTGGTGCGGACCGCGTGGAACGTCACGGCGGAGGCGAGGAAGATGAGGGAGCGGTGGCGGCGCGGCGGGGGCGGGGGAGCAATCGCGCGGTAGGTTCAACCAGGGCGCGAGAGGGAAGGGAAGGGAGGAGGTAAAAGAAAGCGGGGAGGGAATGAGCAGGAGTTACGAACGAGAACACACGACGACGAAGATGATGACGAAGATCTCACGAATCACGAAAGTAACGTACGACGCACACAGCACACACGCAGCACGCAGCAGCCTAACCCACCCGCTGATCTATTAATGCACTCCGCAATGTAATCGTGTCCGTTCGAACCGCTGTATACCCACCCAGTAGCTAGTAGCCGCATACCCATCCCGCTTTCGCCGCTCCGCTCCCGCTCCCGCACACCCACCCTCACCCTGAGTATCGAACATTGTGTCTGCTCTTCCTCCTTGCTTCGTGCTCTGCCTACATGTACACGTACTGTATCACCAGGCTAGCGCTAATCCTCTTCCTGAATGATAGAACTCGCCTGCGCGGTCGACATGCCAACGAAATTAGACATGTGGACGTATATCATATTCAGAGCGTCCTCTAGGATGATCCGCCCGGTCATCCCCGTGGCGACATCCTCCTCGAAAAGGAGCGCAGATCCTAGCAGATCCTATGTCTCGGACATACACACGAAGGTCGAACGCACAGCCTGCATAACAAGGTTCTTCCACCCGAAAATCTAGTGGAAGTACACCGGAAATACAGTTCTATACAAGCCGCGAAGGTCATATACAATACATATCTACATCCCCCGTTAACTCATTCTTCAGTAGTTACTCCGACAGTTGAAAGCAACAGATGATTCGGCTCATCGTCCATTGTACAACTTATATCTACAGCAGCTAGTCTACAGTCATATCACAGGCCGAAAAGGTCAGAGCTCAACAGCGCGCGTCAGTACGAGCGAACGTGAAGCAATTCATAAACGAGCACGATAGTGTCAAGACACAGAACGAACATCCCCACAAACCGAAAAGACCGCACAACAAGCTTAAGTGGCACTACCATAGTTGAAGAGCACAGGCCTCCGCGGTGCGGGCTTAAGCGGTATCTCCTCGTCCATCGCCACCGCCTGCCCGCCATTGATCATCACGTCCTCCTCTCCCGGGCCAATCGCAAAGTCCTCATGCGCCCACCGGACGAGCACGCGCTCGCCGACGCGCGAGCGCATCAGCCGCGGGTGCGCCTTGACGTACGACGTGAGGAAGCGCCGAAGCCGCCGCGGCGGGAAGTATGCGAGATACACGATCGCGCAGATCAGGGAGCTGTATGCAGTCGATTGGTCTCAGCGTCGTACGATGACCGCCTGGGGAGGGCGATAGAGAGAGACGTACGCAGAAGCGAACATTGTCACGACGGAGCGGTGAGAGCGCCCTTCGAGCAAGTCTGGGTCGAGCAGCTTCTTCTCGCCGGGGATGTCGTCGTCTTCCGCGTCCTTTGGCGGTGCGTCGTCGTCCTCTGGCGGCGATGTAGGGTGCGTCGGTTCCTCCTTCGGAGGCGGTGCTGACGTCGCTTGGTCGCATGCGTGTTTCGTGCGCCATATGAATGTGTGTGTGCCCCTCCAGTCCCATCCAGTAGTAGGCGACGAAGGCTATGTTCATACTTCTCAGCTGATTGCACATGCCAGTACGAGTACAGCTAAACAGTACCTCCTCGGCGTTGTGGTCGCAGATGAACTGGAAATCGGCCTTCTGCTGCCGACGCATGTAGTACCCACCGTGAAGATTGATGTGCAAGACGTCTGCCACAGCTTGATCAGAAACATCAAGCGCGATCGCGGATCGACACGTACCGTGCTTCGCCTCCGTCTCTGCAGGGACGAACTTCGCCGTGATGTTGAGCCCCGGCACGTACTCGTTTGTACCCGATCCGGCTTCATCGTCAGAGGACAGCTCGCCCGCAACAGGTACAACTTGCAACACACGCGGCTCCTCATCGTCATGCTTAGGTCGCGTGTTAGTGACTGCAGCAGCGATAAACGGGCAAACTCAATAATACGCAGCGAGACACTCACCCATCTTGCATATCCAGGTCCCATCCGGACACTGAACAACAGATCGATCGTCAATCAGGCTTGAATACGGCACAGCAGCATCGTCCAGCGGACCGAAGTGGTCCTGGACATCAGACGCACCTGTTCATCGCTGGCGATCTTCTTGCTCCTCTTGAGCGGCCCCTGGAACGAGATCCTGTACTCGTCCTTCGTGATGGTGGGCGGTGTCTGTCGCTCCCGGCTAACCGTCCAGCCTCCCTCATTGCCTTCAAACACCGGGCACATGTCAAAGTGCCTGTCGCCCAACGCGAACTTGCATTGTTTGGCCAGTATGCCCACAGGCTCTTCGACCGCCGCTGCCGCCGCCAGAGAGACAAGAAGAGATAGAGAGAACGCGATGGCGGTGCCGTGCATGGCGAATCGTCGAAATCTCCAGCAGGGACTCGAAGAAAGCCAGGGAGGAGTCTCAATAACTTAGTGCGAGCGCTGCGAGACCTTGATAAGGTGGAACTCGAAATAGGCGGTCACGATGCCAAATGGGGGACTTATGTCAGCCGGCTTCTCTAGCTTCCAACCCACCGTCGCTGAAACAGAGCACGAATATGTAATGGCATCCTCGGAAGGTGCGCTGTAACGCAGGAAAAGACGATCTCGAGGAGAAAGCGGGTTGCAAGGAAGAAAATGTCATTGCTTGGCATCGGCAAGCGGCCATGGATCTTGAACCGCAACCACCATCTGCGTCGGCAAGCGCCCGGGGGTCATCCCCTGCGCCCTCTGCATCTCTTGATGATTTTTCTGACCTGACCCCCTCTCTTACACTGGCGATACGCCAGGCTCTCCGACCTTGGTCGGCTCAGGGTCCCGCTGATTTACTCGCGGATCTCGACTCTGTCATTGACGCAGTTTTTGCGGTACAGAAGGCCACCCGACGAGTGTTGGTGCTGGCGGCTGGGCGCTGCAAGCACAAGCACCTTCCTCCTCTAATGTCCGAACGCCTCAAATCAGCCCTCAAACTTTTCAACCCGGCACCGGCCTCCCAAGCGGTGGTCGAGCCCCCGCCTCAGCCCGCCCCTCCGACCACCGGACCCACCCTCACGGCGGCTCTCCAGGACCTTCGCGCCGCCTTCGACGCCAGGCTTGATGCCTTGGAGACTCGAATGGTGACTGCGACCCCCCCGTCGCAGGCGATGGCCCCCCCTCCTCCCCAACATCAGGTACGTGGCACTCCGAAGAAGCGCTCGTACGCGGCTGCAGCCGCTAAACCTCGTCCGGCTCCTCCCGTGACGACTCCGAACCCGCCCGCTACCCCGAAGGCTCCTAAGCCCAAGCAGGTTGCAGAGCCCTTGCGGTACGTGGTTCGATTTACTGGCTCCATGCCGGTCCACTTGCTTCAGACTCCCCCTGCCCAACTGGTCAGTGATGTGAACGCAGCACTGGCTGCGATTCCAACTGCTGGAGGAATGGCTGCGCTTGCGGTCTATCTGAGCTCTTCTGGCAACATCGTCCTGGCCTTCCCTCCTGCCACCTCCTACCGCCGTGTTGACGAACATCTCCCGACCCTCCGTGCTGCCCTCAAGCTCGACCCGGATCACCATGTCTCCAGGGACGTCAAGTGGTCTCGGATTCTCATCGGCAATGTCAGCACCCGGGCAGCCCCTGGCGGCGCTGTCCACTCGACGTCGACCCTGTTGACTGAGCTCGTCAAGAATCCTGCACTTGTGCGCCTTCGCCTCACCCAACCTCCGCGATGGGCACGTCGACCTGAGCAAATCGACGGTGCTCGCTCGTCCGTCGTCCTCAGATTCGAAGACCCGGATGGCTCCATCCTCACCGCCCTCCTTCAGACCCCCCTATTCGCTTTCGGTACTCCCGTCACCACGTCGCGCTGGCGTGATAAGCCGCGCCTCCGACAGTGTACGAGGTGCTGGGGTTATGGCCACCTCGTTGCAGGATGCACGAAGCCGCCCCGGTGCCGTGTCTGTGCTGGCCGCCATCTTGAATCGGTGCACCGCGCTCGGTGCGCCATGTGCGCGAAGGAGAATCGCGCTGCCTCCGACCCCTGCGCTCATGCGCGCTGCGTGAACTGCCGTGGTCTCCACCACGCCGACTCCGACCAGTGCCCCAAACGCACCTCTTTCCGGAGCGCTGGCCCCGCTCGGACCTCTTCTCTCGAGCGCCCCATGCTGCCCGCTGCTGGCGACTCTGATGTTGCCATGTAGGGGCGAGTGCGACTCCATTTCCACCACGTTCCTTTCTTTCTCATTTCTAGTGCCCCCCGTCCGCTCCCCTCCGTCACCACAAGGCATGCCCGCACTGAATACGGGGTCAACATGCCGGCGTAGCAACACTTAAATGCAGGGGATCAGTTTTTATCCAGCCTGCTGCGTGGTAGGGTTCGCCGCGTGTCACCCATTCATTCTGTCGATTCCCTCTGTTCTTTCCCTCCGCCCCGACATCTCTTTGGCTGCCAACTCACTCCGCCCTTCGGCCCGCCGTCGTGCAATTCACTAACCCTGGTCCAGCCGGCTTCCCCTCAATGTTCAACTGGTCACCATGCCC